GCTTTGAACTCTATATTGGCACTGGACATGCATACTGTAACCCCAGCTCCCCCAAGTATGGCATTTACTACATTTTGTTTCACAAATAATATTATTGGAGACTTGTTTCCATCAAACAATATTGTAGCTGGCTCGAAATATAAATGGCTTTTGGTCTTGAGCAATTTATAAATGGGAATAAAAACCTTTGATGCTTATGGAGCCTACACGGCTGGGTGAAAAACGCTTTACCCAGGTATTTGTAGTAAGATACTACAACTTTCAGTCGTATGTACATCGAATTTGTTGTATGTTTCTGTTGCGTTCTAAAACGATCCACCCGTCGTCCCAAGACAGTTTTCTTTGTTTGCTAAATTACATGATTTCATACTTTTATACAACGTTCCCGTCTTAGGACTTAATTACGTGACGCTATTCCAAAGAAAATGTAGTATTGAAAGCTTATGTTGTCATGCCATTCTATGTAGAAATGTTATACTATGTTCCACCAAAAGTGGTTAATCGGTATTAAGGTTTAGATTTCTGATACATCTGAACAAGTGAGAAATGTTGTTTATCACGAGAATCAACGGGTTCACCTGCAAAAACTCGGGAACACATGGTACAAGTCAAAACAGGGATTTGCATCATTCTTGTCACTGTTGCGTCAAATTTGGAAATGTCATCCATGTGTCTACTATACATGTTTTTTAAAACTTGACTGAGGCCTTAAATGTTGTAACTTTTATCAAACAACTTTTGAGCAAGAGTCCCATGACTCTCTTTGAAATCGTCAAAGAACAGCATGCTCGATTACACCTCAAAACAATAGAAAACCCAAAGACCGGACCCGCTGGATTTTGCTTGACATAAAGAGAAAGTTGACTTCTGGAAGTTGAAGTCATCACTCTTGTTACACGGTCTGGTGAATTTGTTTGGTTATTCTGAATCTTTATTCATAAATATAAATATGAAACTGATGAGGCGGTATCATTTGTCTCTTTATTTCCACTTAATGTTGGTTGGCTGGTTGGTTGGTTGTTTAACGCCGCACTCAGCAATATTCCAGCTATATGACGGCGGTCTGTAAATAATCGAGTCTCGGCCAGACAATCCAGTGATTGATATCATGAGCATCGATCCATGCAAATGGGATCGATGACTTCATGTTGGTAAATCAGTTGAAGGGAACTGGCTACTTAGCCATAATGGAATTATATGAGATCAAACGTATTATCCAAATTAACTTGTTTTGACTTTGTCAAGCAGGGCAGAAATTCTGATCCTTTTGTAAAAAGAACAGATAAGTAAGAAGGGGAGCAAAACTGATGCCCATGGTGATGACTACTTTCTTGCCTAAATATCTACGGCAAATATGTACATTTATCAGAATGACACTACCCCGTCCAGTGAAGTTTGTTCTTCTGTTTCATCCCGCGATACTGTTATAACGGTTAATATATGCATTACAATAGTGAGAGCAGGCAGTACATGTACATAGGACACACATAAAGATTAATATCTTGTTTCAGTGATCGAGATCGACCGGAAGATGTCTGACCAGGAGATAACATGTAAGATCTGCGCCCTTGATCATGACATGATGTTACAAGATATTGTTCATTGGTTTTGTATCTGTCAGTTGATTTCGAGAGGTTACCACCGCTTTCGAGATCTGAACTTTGTGCTTACCTTTTGATAGTTTAGTACAGAAGTTTTATTAGTCGTCACGTTAGCTATGTTGCATATCATGCATGGGTTGCCTGATTTTTGAATGTTAAGTAATGTAGGAGAAGAAAGCCTCCTTGGTGTAGTGGATAGAACATCCGTCCGGAGAGCTGAATGTCGGGGGTTCGATCCCCAGTCACGTATAACCAAAATACATTAAATGATGGTACTTGTTGTTACCCTACCTGGCGCCCGGCACTAAGGGGACAAAACTAGGTCTGGTCGTTTCGGAGTCAGCATACTGAGTGGGGTATTCATGTTAAACTGTGGCATGGTATCTCAGTTGGCTAGCACTTTAAACTCGGCAGTCGTCCTACACCACACACACATACATACACACGTACATACGTACATACACACCCTCGCGCGCGCGTGCATGCACGTTATACGTGTAATAATCTTGAAGTTATATATATTAAACCCCAGAACGAATACACTTCTAAATTAATACATAATATATCAATGAGGTTATAGTGAGTGAGTGAGTGAGTTGGGTTTAACGCCGCTTTTAACATTATTCCAGTTATATCACGGCGTGTCAGCTTAATGTGGGAGGAAAGCCCGAAGTGATGCAGGTCTCAGACGTTTACCACTTCGGTGAACCCACGAGCACGGGTATGGTGCTGACATACCTAGAAACATAATCGGGGCGAATCGGGATTCGAACCCACAATCATAGGTTTCTGGCGTGCCCAAGGGACGCAGCTCTGCACAGCGAATCGCGGCGCCTTAGACGACTGGGCCACCCGTGCCCCCATGATAGCTTATAACTTTCATTTGGTAGATTGACTAAATTGTGAGTAAAACACGTATTAAGTGATATATATGTTAGCTACAAGATGTGTTGGTACTCATTACGAATGTTTTTTTCATCACAGGTCCAACTCTGGAATGGTACACTGACACTGCAAAATGCATCATTGACGTATCTGAATGTGTAATCACAAACACAAGACCGGCTGTTATTTCTCCGAACACAGGATGTCGGATACGAAATGCCAGATCATGTCTAGCGTCCAGACCTTTGGTGGTCCGAAACAGTCCTGGGCAGCGTTGCATGTATGGAATAAAGTTGGGGTTATCTATAAAGACATTGGTAGGAAGTAATAAACTTATACAAGAGATAGCCCTGACATCCTCTCCTGAAGATGCTGTCCGGCCGCAACACATTGGACTGAGTGTGTATGTTGCAACATGCTCCACCCACAACCAACAGCTGTGTCTTCGGGTAAACTACAATAAAAAGCTCTTCACTCACCTTCCACTCACTGAGAACAGAGTTGGACAGTCTTATGACCTTCAGCTATACTTTCTACTGGATGGAGCTAGTGACAAAATATTGGTTGTTAATGCCATTGACAATTCAGTGTACACCACTGTTACAGATGTAGAATTTGACAGACCACTGTGGGTTATGATGTATGTTTGTGATCCCACAAAAGCGGTTGTAAGAGGAGAACTGATATCTGGCCACAAAATCCAAGGAACCTTTGCCAACTTTAATCTGTAGAATCTGTAGAACACATTAACATTTTAACAATAGATTTTTGTAAATAAAGTGTTTGAATCTGAATTTCCCACACACTACTGTCAGTGATCATGAGCAGGCGATTTGTTTGGAAATGAGTGAGTGAGTGAGTGAGTATAGTTTTAGGCCACTTTTAGCAATATTCCATCAATATCACGGCGGGGGAAATGGGCTTCACACATTGTACCCATGTCGGGAATCGAACCCGGATCATCGGCGGGACGAGCGAACGCTTTAACCACTAGGCTACCCGACCGTCCTGTTTGGAAATGATGGTAGTGGTGCTGAACGATGTAGGATGTAGACATATGGAGGGCATTTGTTCCTTTGTTGGTTCGCACGAACCCATGACTAGCCTTTGCATGCATTTTTGTGGCGTGCTACCGGAAGGGCAAGCAACGCTGACATTCATTATTATGCTTCAGACTGTTGTAAAAAAATTGTCTGCCACAACAACTACCTGGTTGCAAGGTGTTTTTCTTAAAAACATTTCAGGCTCATACATTTATTTTACAAAATATCTGGTCCTGCAGCAGGAGATGAAAATGTATATTATCTTGCACTTACAAGGGTGATTTTCATTAAAATATTTTCTGCATGAGATCACCTGAGGTATAAACATTTACCTGCTAAGTAAAGCTCTTGCTTCATTTGAAAATCCTGTGTCAAATCCTGATGTTGTAGCTTCTGTTTCCTTTGTGAACTGTACATTGTACCTTTAACCTTATTCGTTTACTTGATTTCCGATTTCCAACCTCACATCAAATACACAGACTGGGCAACAGTGAGTGAGTGAGTGTGTTGGGTTTAACGCCACTTGTAACAGTATTCCAGTTATATCACGGCGTGTCAGCTTAATGTAGGAAAGCCCGAAGTGATGCAGGTCTCAGACGTTTACCACTTCGTTGAAACCCACGAGCACGGGTATGGTGCTGACAAACCTAGAAACATAATCGGGGCAAACCGGGATTCGAACCCACATGGGGTCTGGCATGCCCAAGGTCGCGGCGCCTTAGACGACTGGGCCACCCGTGCCCCCTGGGCAACAGTGATCAATAAAGTCAACAAGCATCCATGGTTTAGTTAAATGTGATCTTGACATAACAAATCCTGATTGTGATCGCATAAATACAATAGAAAATAAGCATAATGTAATGTAAGCAAAATAAGTTCATGTGCGCGTTAATAATTTGTTTAATACCGCACTATACAATTTAACATGAACAAGAAAAGCTATGAAACCCAATTCCATAATCATAATATATATAGATATTATAAATTCCATTGTACGATTCCCTCTCCAAAATAAGCATGTTTTTTTTTATATAAATGTAAATCACTACCAAATGCGTCAACTGTCCTCCATGTGTTTAAACCAATAGGAAGCAATACTGAGGCCTTGAGTGTTGTAGCCCTGATCAAACAACAAGCGTTGCACGGAGCTCTTTGGAATCTCCTTAGAGATAACCATGCTCGATTGTACATCAAACGTTTTGAAATGTTTATGCCATCAGCAAAGTCACAGATACTGACCACGCAATCCAATTTTTCGCAACGATCAGCAATAGAATCCTATATGTTCGAAGCTAGTTTCCTACATGATTCATACATAGGCGCTGATATCGAGACCTTACACTTGTGAAAGGTATTTGTCATTGATAATGATAGACACAACAGCCTAATGTTTTATATGAGGTCACATGTGCACGGGTTATCAACATGATATGTGTGGACTTTGTGCATCCAAACCATACCCTGGGTCCGTGTTCCAGTCACATTGATCTGTGCCGCCCACATATATCTGCATCTCCCTTGACTCATGAAAGCCAATTCGATTGTGTCTATGTCTGTATGTCAGGGTGATGCGACCACAGATCACTATTACAGGAAGGTAGGTCCCAAACAGTTATAGCGTCAGTGTGTGTTACCACTTGAGACTTAAGGTTTAAAATTAGGAAGGTTTGACGCACCTTTCAACATGTCTTTTAGAATTTGTTTCATTGAACAAATTAAATTTCACACACACACACACACACACACACACACACACACACACACACACACACACACACACACACATATATATATGTTTTTTGCTTAACGCCGCACTCGATACTGGACCAGACAATCAAGTGATTGACATCATGCGCATCGATCCCCACAATTGGGATACGATGACATGTATCAACCAAGTCTACGAGCCTGACCACCCGATCCCGTTAGTCACCTCTTACGACAAGCATGGTCATCTTTTACGGCACGTGTTACTGAAGACCATTCTACCCCGGATCTACAAGGGTTATATTTATATCAAGGCAATTTTCATTTAAGGTATTGAAAACATTAATTGTCATGTTTTCATTAAACTGTACCACCTTAACACGAAAGGAGTTAGCATCAAATCAATCGCTATCATGAACCGTCACAATTATTTTCTCTGTGCTAATTGATATAATTGGATTGCATGTTTTCATATAGATACGGGGCATAAGGTAAGAGGACTTTTTTATACAAATTAATATTGCAACATTCATTATCGAGTTGTGTGTGCTTTTCGCAGGAACAATGTCTGACTCTCTCTCAACGTCACATGTGCAACGTTATCTCACAGAGTGTCCAGTATGTTCTGAACAATTTGATGATGTCGCGCGCCTTCCCCGCCGTCTGTCGTGTTGTGTACAGTGTATCTGTCAGCCATGTTTACAGCAGATCTACAATGAAGAAGACAAGACGTTGCTCTGCCCTGTCAGTCACCACAAGCACGAACTTCATAATGGAGTTACCTCTCTTCCGACTGAGCCTATCACATCGAAGATACTTGACTACCAGAAAATCCAAAGAAATGAGCGGGTGGTATGTACAGATTGCCCAAGCAGCAACGAGGCAATAGCACGTTGTGAAGAATGCTGTGTATTTTTATGCAAGGAATGCAGGATAACCCATGATCAACACAGATTGTCACGACATCACAGAACTCATACATTTGAGGAGATTAAAGGTCAGCCGATCCAGGCCTTGAGACGACTACACGAATGCGGCCATCACCCACAGCGTCAGGAATACTTCTGCAATACCTGCGAGAAGATCATATGTGTTTCCTGCACTGTAGAAGATCATCGAGAAGGAGCGGGACACATGTTTGTACCTGTGGATAAAGCACACCAAGAAAAATCAATACATGTTGATAACATGTTAAATCAACTTGACGAAAAGGCTGTAGAACTGAGTCAAACAGAACAAGAATTGTTACACAAAGTCGACAACATGCACGTGTCAGCACTTGCAGCCAGACAGGACATCAACAAATGCTTTGAGAAGATGTTAGAGGAGTTGCAACAAAGGAAAGCAACTCTTTTGTCAGACGTGGAGAAGAGAACCGGCGCTGATGTAAAGCTGACGGAAGAGATCCTCCAGTCAACCAGAGAGCTGCTGGCGAAGGTGAGATCCTCAACAGAGTACATTAGGCAGATGAGAAGCATGGCCGATTATATCGAGGATCTTCATCTGATGCTTTCCTCTACACCCTCACTGAATGGCATACTAGCTGAGGAGCCAAAGAAAGTGGAATTTGTAAGCAGGGGAACATCCTTTGTCCCAGCCAATCTGAATAATCTCGCGTCCACTATCAAGGTGACAGGCATGGTCAGGTCTGTCACATACACGCCAACCCAGAGGCCACAAGATGTACCACAGAAGACAATATATAACACCATCACACTGGAGCCAGCTGAGGTACCTGCAGGTCGGTTTCTGCAATAGTTCAAATATTTCAATACCTTTGTGACCCTATCTTAAACTAGTTGTTCAATTGTGTTGTTTTAAGCTTATTTTTGCTGTTATTGCTTTTATGTATATTCCAGCAATATGTACATAATCGATTGCAAATGGTTGGCCTTTTAGCGATATCTCATGCAGTTTTAATGTCCTCTCCCAGCAATCATTGATTACTTGGGACGAATTCTTGTCCCTCAATTCACACTAGAGGACGTCATATATGACCATGGAATTAACTGAACATTTGCCATATGTATCCCAATGTCGCAAGTAGTAAGCAGTTCACACACTACGATCACCCGGACCCAAGAAAGTCACTAAACCGTAACTCCTTGATCCAATCTAGTCAGCGAAGTGATAAACGTCTGAGACCTGCATCACTTCGGGCTTTCCTCCCACATTAAGCTGACACGCCGTGATGTAACTGGAATATTGTTAAAAGCGGCGTTAAACCCAACTCACTCACTCACTCCCTCACTCAAATCTAGTCACCTCTTACGAAAGGAAATTGAGAGCTGGGGGGCCAATTCTATGCTGGATCCTTATAAGATGTGTATGGTTTAATAGTGGTAAACACCGTGTAACTTTTTTTAATCTAGTAAGGCTTCAGTAATATGATTTTATATAACAAACGGTAGGCTTGGCATTCATTTTATTCACTCAATCAGTGTCTTATTTCAGTGCGTGATGGTGACATGGTTCTATCGAAAGTAGACATAATGGCTATAACATGTAAGTTTAATATGTTTCTATTCAACATATTTTATCACCATAAACTGTCTCTGTGTCAAGGATATTTTTGATGGATAACAGCGTTTTTATTTCAAATACGAACAGATCATATACACATACTATATGTATAATGAACAAGTTTGTAATATTAAAGGTACTCCTTGTCACGTCTTAGAAAACCACTGTTGTCAAGTGACTTCAACTTCAGCAATGACATCGTTTCTAGTGTGACGTCATTCCGGCCCTATGTCACAATCGAATGCGTAAACAATACATTGGTGTGCGTGAAGTGTGGTGTGCCCTTGAAAGAAGAGACCAAACTGGGAAAGAAATACATTGCTTTTTGCAAAGTAATTAAACCTCATCATGAAAATAATGTCCCCCTTCTGAGCTAATCAAGTATTAAAAAGAAAAAGCCAGGACTGCTAATATAGCAATTTGTCCCCATTTAACATCCCACCTATATTTGTGCACTTTAGCTTAAGACAATCAGTTACTGTTACAAACATCTTTCTTTAAACTGTCACATCCACTTTGAACAGGGGTTACCGTCAGATAATTATGGAATACTGTAAGGGACATTCTCGCGATCTCGACCTTTGGAAACGAGGTAAATATGCCCAAAACACGAGAATGCAAGATCGCGAGATTTGGCCAATCTATCGAATCTTTGACAGTTGCAATTTCTCTGATCTACCGTGAGTAACATAAATATTAAGACGTCATGCTTTGATCTATTTTCAACAGTGGATTCAAAGTGTATCCACATTTGCCATGGACGACCGTGATTTCTGAATATTAGCCATATGTTTCTTGCTCCTTTTAAAAGGTACACAATTGGAGTGGGACTCAGCCGTTGCTAATCGTGACGTGACTGTAGAAGGGACTACGATCTCTAATGCCAGGCCGGATGTCTCGCCAAATGACACTGGCTGTAGGATACAATCCCAGAGATGTGTCATGGCGTCGAAACCTCTGATCATGAAGACTCGCCGCATTGACATGTTCCAGGTGAAGTCTCGATTCAGCCTACGACAGAAGGCAGAAAGGAAAACGATGCTATTTGAAACAGCTCTTACCCCTTCACCATTAGATTCCGATTGGAATCAGTTGTTGGGGTTGAGTGTAAGTGTTGTTGCATGTCCTAATCACAAAACGAAGCTGTGTGTCTGGGTTAATAATGGGAAACTTGTCACTGACCTGCCACTTATCAAGAATGAAGTTGGCATGTCCTGTGAGTTGCACTGGAATTTTCTTCTTGATGGCAACACACAGAAAATACATGTCATTAATGTTGGGGATGGGAACACGTTCAGCACTGTGTCGAATGTTCTACTCAACACGCCACTGTGGGTCTTGATGTACGTTTCTCTACCATCTACATCAGAGATGACAGGGGAACTAATATCAGGCCACCACATTGACAAGAAGGGTCACATGTTTGAAGTGTGAGTCAGTAAATATTTATCGTGGCAATACTTTTACAGTATAGCGACGGATTATACACAGTATATCAAATCTCATACTGTAACATATTTAACTGAAATTATTTTATCAGAAAACTTTGATGTTGTATATAACATATGTTTATATTTATACAAAGTCCAAAACTAAGAGAAACTTATATAGATTACTTCATTGGCATGCGTAGTTCATGCAACCAAACATTGTCTGTATTATGGGCCTATGGCCTTTCTACTGAATATACCGTCTGTCTCTGTCTGTAAAGCCAAAACATTTAGACAAAAATATGAAAGGTCTCTCAACCACTTTCTATAATACATGTAGGTCTATGTAAAGTCTACTAACTAATTACTAACACGTGTTCTAATTATTTGTATACTGTAAAAATGATGTACTATCTGAATGAGACATGTGAACCATTTGTATAAGGAATTTCGGCACCCTCTAACTAACCAGCGGGGCCACGGGTGGCCCAGTCGTCTGAGGCGCCGCGATTCGCTGTGCAGAGCTGCGTCCCTTGGGCACGCCAGAAACCTATGAGTGTGAGTTCGAATCCCAGTTAACCCCGATTATGTTTCTGGGTTTGTCAGCACCATACCCGTGCTCGTGGGTTCACCGAAGTGGTAAACGTCTGAGACCTGCATCACTTCGGGCTTTCCACCCACATTAAGCTGACACGCCGTGATATTACTGGAATAATGTTAAAAGCGGCGTTAAACCCAACTCACTTACCCACTCACTCACTAACTAACCAGCAGCTGTTCGTCATCCATTCAGCAGCAAAGCGGAATGGTGTCGCAAAAAGATGTGTACTGTAATGAAGAAATAAATTGTCTTTTGTGTGGATAGTGATCAGCCAATATCCTTAATTGCCTCTACTGTGTAACTCATCTATATCTATATCACATCTATATTTTGCAAAATGGTAACAATATTTAAATTGCATTGGTGTTTTGTTAGTGTACCATATGCCATGATGTGATTTGTGTTGGAGACTTATGTTTGCTCTTCTGTCAGCAGCTGTACAATGAACACCAGTTGTTTAAACATACTTATCCAGGGGAGGACTTGATCATGATCGAGCTCAAATTATCCCAACAAATAACCCATACTATTGTGCACCCACTGGAATCTGTTTTGTTGGATAATCGAGACTGGTTATTAGTGGACATTGTATATGTATCTATTTACTTTTCAACATGGATGAGGATGTGCGGAATTTCATAGCTTTGATTCCATGATAGTTTTGAATGATTATTGTATTTTAGTAATTATATATTGTTCTTGAATATATATGCATGTTCTATAGCAGCACCCATGATGTTAATCTGTTCCTCGCTGGTGGTTGGAGCATATAATTCACAAACGTCTCACTTTTGAACATGATTTATTATGTTTTTGAATATGAATACATCTGTGATGTTTCAAGACTGTCACAACTATATGAAAAGATGTGACGGAAATAAAGGAAAATGTTTGCACCCACTTGGTATGTGGGTGCCGCGTATTATTCAAGCCATCGAGGCGTGTAAATAGGCCACTGAAGACCATATAATCCAGTGACTGATGTTATCAGCAACGTTCCACGCCGATTCCGTTGGTTGACAAGCCATCAACCAAGTCACCGAACCTGACCATCCGATCCATTAGGTCGCCTCTTCGAGTAGCAGTTGGGAGCTGCAGACACATTATATCCCGGATTTGTCACAGTCGAATGCCTTAAACGAGGCACGTTCTCCGTTCATGAATTCGGGAAACAGTGTTTAGCGCTTCCAGATTGGAATCTCGACCGCACTGGACAAGTAAATAATTCGTAGGTCAGGTCGTAAAATACCTCGAATCACCCTCGCCTTGCTCTTATATAGGTACAGCTAGCCTGCCGGAACATGAAACGTCAATAGTATCGAATAATAAGTCTATCCCAGTGTCGATACACAAAGGTGGGTGTTTTGAAGTACCTTGTTGCAAATCTACCCTTATCTGGAAACGTTAACATTTCATGGGCACTTTTATAAGCAGCCACCAAATCTACTGCCACGTAATATTGTTTATTGACTTTTAATTGTCATAATAGCTATAAACCTACACAATATCTCTGATTATTAATTGGTGTTGCATATTATACATGCTCCAGTTTGAGTTGTAGTGCAAGGAAAAGTATACTGAAACTTATTTCACGTATACTATGACAGAAAGACAATCTTCATTTCATCCTTTTTATCAATCAGTGACTAATTACAGAATACACTATCTGGTCAATCTATGACCACTGACAGAATATACTATCTGCTAAATCTATGACCACTTACAGAATACACTATCTGGTCAATCTATGACCACTGACAGAATACACTATCTGGTCAATGTATGACCACTTACAGAATACACATGATAAAACGTTTTGAATGAATGCGAAAACCTAACTTCACACATCTGAAAGAGAATATTTTATATTGAATCTGTTTTTTTACTGTTTTATTGTATATACCTTTTTTATGATTGCAAACATTATTCCTGTGGCTATACGGCTGAAATGTTGACGAAATGATGTTGTGTAACGCACTCACTAACTAAAACAGAAACGCGGTCATTGAGATAACCAACAACGATAACATCAAACCCTGTTGTAATAACCCGGCCGTCTAGATCTATGTGAGCATTGTCAAAACCTGTCAGTTCTCGTGTGTGTGACCCATATGCAAGGCTGTAGGTCACTATACGCCCCACGAATAATTACAACAGAAACAGCTTCAAGAGACGTTTGTATTAAGTGAGTACAGTTTGTACAGTGAGTACAGTGAGTACATGTTGCAATAACCAAGGATAGAAGTTTCTTGTTAACTAACACACTCTGCAATAATCCAGCTATAAATCGGCGGCCTGTATATAATCGAATCTGGCCAAGAATATCCAGTGATTGATAATATAATGAACAGCGATCTATGCTGAGGTATGATGACGCCAAATCAACCAAGTCTTCCAGCCTGACCACCAGATCCATTTTCTCGCCTCTTACGAGCCGCATAGACTGCAAGTGACCACACCTAGCCTGGAATCCCCAGGAGCCAGAGGCAGGATGTTTTAGAATCCATGATTATTGTTTTTGAAAGGAAAGGCCATTGTTATACAGGATATATGAAGTCTTGTGGTATAAATATATTTTAGCCTCTCTTAATTGGATATGTGTTTAATGCTGTATATGTATCTAGAATCTTCAAAACTGATGTTAAACTATTCGTGCTTGTGAATGGTTTTACCCTTCATTTGCCTCACATCATCAATACTCCACGGGCTTGACAACACTGTATTCTTCTCTATGAAGCAATGTCAACACACATCGTTCTTTCGTATTAGGTAGCAATATAGTGTAAACACGGAATATATAAATATATAAAAGCACAAATATATTGACATACAAATATATAATTTTTTATATATATATATATATATATATATATATATATATATATATATATATATATATATATATATATATATATATATATGTATCCCAATGTATGAACTGCAGATTATTCCTGTGTTCGATATGCCTAAATGCTCACACAAGGAACAAAGTCACAAGAAAACACAGGACAGTGACTTTTGAGGAGAAGAAAGACTTGCCGCTGGAGAGTTTTGAATCCTGGCATCAGAGTTTCCAAGACAACACAAACAGCCACTACAGTTCTACTGCTATACCTGTAGATTTGTGATCTGTGTATCTTGCACTGAACTCGAGCACAATAAAGGGAGTGGACACGAGGTTGTTTCTATTACTGAGGCGCCCCACGACATAGCACATGCCACTGACGACACTCTTGTCAAACTTGACGAGAAGGTAGAAAAGTTCAGCGGGACAGAAGCAGATCTAAAACAAATTTAGAACTTTCCAAGAAAGCTGCCAAAGATAGCCTTGACCAAAGATTTGATAAAAAAATAAAAGAAGTTCAGGACAGAAGACATATCCTTTTGTTACACCTTGAAGACGTTTATAGTGATAGTTTTAAGCTAACAAACGAGGCCTCAGAGCCAACTAAATAACTGCTAAACAATGTAAAGTCTTCTTTGGACTACACACGGCAGATGAGGAGTAGAGCTGACCAGACAGAAGATCTACAAATTATGACATCATCGGCTGCTTCTTTCAGAAAGATGTTGCAGGAGTCTCTCATTGAGATACAATATACGAGGACAGGCGTAGGCTTTGTACCTGCCAACCTGACCGACCTTTCCTCTGCAATCCAGGGAGCAGGAATGATAAGGTCAGTCGCATACTTTCCAACACAGAGGCCGGGATATGTACCAGGGGCTGACAGATACAATACCATCACACTGACACCTGCAGAATTTCAAAAGGGTAAATTAATTTTTATTATGTACATGTATGTAAAAATATCTATAAAATGTTATTGTCGACATGAGGAAGCTGTGGTTCGAAAAGTTGTGATGACTACTGTCCCATGTCTGCTTATAATGACTTAACTTTATATAACTAAATGTAAACGGTTGGATATATACATTATTATAGTTTGTTTGAGTATGTGAAACTAACATTTAGTTTGTAAAAAGATAAAGGTATATCATAATCTTTAGTTCGACAGTTGGTGAATTTCATTTCTTGGTAACATTGTAATCTGTTTCGGTCGCTAATGTGGACAAGACGATTTCCAGTGGAGATGAAGCCATTTCATGTGAGATCTCATGTGTTTAAGATTCAACATATCATGTCATGTGCCCATCAACATAAGGGGCACTGCTTGACCTCTGATGTATGGCTCCTGTGTAGACGGTTATGCCTGGGTTTGAACAAAAATTTAACCCTGACTATGACTCATTGTTTGTCTACATCATACGCATGCTCGTCGGTTTCACAAGCACCAGATGCTTGCCGTAAGAGGCGACTGACGAGATCGGATGGTCAGGCTCGCTGACTTGGTTGTTGCATGTCATCATATCCAAATGGCGCAGTTCGATGCTCATGATCTCATTCACTGGATTGGCTGGTCCCAACGCGAATATTTACAGACCGCCTTCATATAGCTGGCGGCGTTAAATAACAAACAGACACAAAATCCCAAGCTACAGATAGTCGTGGAAGTTCAATTGATTGACGAAGGACATAAAAAAACCAAACATATTACAATTCATATAGTTTGTTTTCTCTTGTACTATCTATTTCGCTGAAATGAAATGTAACTTTTTTTACTTGAAGGAATAATACATGGGAGGTGGAAAATACATATTTCGTCTTGTATCATTTTAATAAAAGCATTCTCAGTTATGAGGCGGCTGTCAACTTGAATAGGTGTTATGTTATACTAATTCAATAATGTGTATTTGTGAATGAGACTAACAATGAATGTGTTTTGTGTTAATAGTTCGTCTCTTGTTTCCTCTCTAGGTCCGCACCTTGAATGGGACTGCAGTACAGCGAGTGACGACATCACTGTATCTGATACTTTGGTAACAAATGAAAAGCCCAAAACTCCGCCACAAGACACAGGATGTCGAATAAGGTCGTGGAGACGTCTGTTGACATCAAGACCTTTGGTTATCAGAGGTGGAAGCCGAGAGATGTTTCTGGTGAAAGTCAGCTTCTCTTTGAAACAGGTCACTGAGAAAAGAAGCATGGTGTTTGAGACAGCAATGACTGCCAACCCCGCAGATACTTGCTGGAACCAATCAACTGGACTGAGTGTACGCATCATAGGATGTCAAAAGCATAAGCACCAGCTCTGTCTCTGGGTTAGGTTTGATGGCAAACTCCTCGTTGATATACCTATTGCTTGCAATCAAATTGGTGAGGCAGGTGCCTTACATCTAGGCTTTCTACTGGACGGTAGGAGCAGTAAAGTGTATGTTGTTGACCTTGACAACACTACAGTGATTCAGTCTGTGACTGACATTGTGTTTGACAGACCATTCTTGGTTATGGCGTATCTAGATGAATCGCAAGATTCATACATGACGTGTGAACTTATATCAGGTCACAACCTTACACTATCAGAAGGAATGACCCAGTTGTTGTTATCTCTATAGGAAGGTGACTGGGTGGGGGAATAAACGTGTAAAATGCGGAAAGAAGGAGCCAGTAAAACATCGTCCCTTGGACAGAATCCGACGTTCAATGTGAAAGAATAAAGACTTCATGATTATTCCCCCCCGTTCAGATCTCAGCGACCATTGTGTGCATCCGATCCCATCCTTTCTTGCTCACCCAAAAGGCTCGAACGATATTGCGTCTTATATTCTACTCTAGTATGTTTTATGTCAGATGTGGAGGACATGTGGCGAAAATGATGTGCGATGTTATTCCTTGTTTTAACTTTTCCGTATGTTCCCGCATTTGTGCAGGTGAACTGCCGAATTACTTGTTTGTGACGGGTGCCACCGGTGGACCTGGATGCTCTCACCTTACGTGTACTCACTAATTGATGGTGATTCATAGACACCTGCTTACGATATAGTCGGAATCGTACAACAGACTTTGCCTTTAAGCAGAGATTTCTTTTTATTCTGTAACGGCTTTTGTAACTTTTAATTCATAATCTACCGAAACGCTAAATACGCAATGCTGATGTTTCTTGATATATCTTTGCAGTACTAATATATCGATGAAATTGCAAATGATTTAGAGATTATCCTACGACATACGTTTCTTTTTGTGAAATGAAGAAAAATATAGGTTTCCGTATCACATAGATATATAAGCTCGGTAAATATATTCTCTGACGTCATTCACAAAGGATGACATCATATTTAAATATTTGCAACTATGCTTGATATGACGTGACGTTGCTATGTGCCGCATCTCACATAATGGGACATTTGGCGTGATCCAGCCAATTGACGTGAAAAAAAAATCCTCTTGCACAGTGAGAATTACTAATTTAACAATTGCTCCACTTTTCTCGCCTGATGAGTAAAAATGACCCTACAATCTAAGAGAAGTTACGGAATTCACCAATTCCCTAAAGACAGATTAACAGTAATTCCGAGTTGCGAGTTATTCTTCTTACTACCCGAGAGACACCGAAACCCGCCTGCACTCTGCTTGACTCTTTTACTTTATCAGTAACCAGCAGGGAGTGAGTGAGTGGGTACGGTTTTACGCCGCTTTTAGCAATATTGCAGCAATATCATGGTGGGGGACACCAGAAATGGACTTCACTCATTGTATCCATGTGGGGAATCGAACCAGGGTCATCAGCGTGACGAGCGAACGGTTCAACCACTAGGCTACCCCACCGCCCCACCACTGGGGAGATATAGATTCCGTATACTTACCAAGATGTCACCGTGACATGTGGAACTTGGCATATATGTATCTGTCACTCGACTATGAGTTTCACAGGAGTCATTTTGTTCTTAATCGTGTCCTTTGTCACAATCATCAACCTGAGCAGAAAATCCAGTATCAGATGATGCAGTTCAGTACACGGGTTCCCTGTGTGAACACATATGTTGTTCACATTTTCGTATTTAGTATGTTGATGGGGTTATTATCACCCTGACCATGAAAAGGGTAATTTTAACAAATAGCTACGAAAATCACACGCACGGCCGATGTACAGAACTGAATTAATATCAAATTTACGCCTTCATAAACGGATTAACTATGAGTCTTGATACCAGTAAACATGCCTTTGTTTATCCCTCTTAATGGATTCCTCTTGATTTCTTCCATGTCGCCATTACCCCTGGTATACAAAACATGTAAGTTAAATGATTGTGTCTCGACTTGGAAATAAAGTTATTTTTCTTCTGGAAAACCAGTTTCGATTAACAACACAAATTAACTAAAGAAATACAAAGATAGATCAAACCAAGATAGATATCATATATTCAGATCATAAACTTTTGATTTTACTCAGTGTGATATTGCACATTATTATAGAGCCAACATGACGACGGTCACATCACAGGGGGTGTATATAAAGTAACCAGACCCTCGTTACACCCCTGCGGGGATGATAAAGCTTTTCAGTGCATTTTGAATGGGCGATTGATATCAGCCCCGGGTGGAGTGCGTCGTCTGCTCGGCTAACTTTCCCAAGACAATGTCTTCTTAACAAGGTGAAAATGTTATGGATGCGTTTTGCATTTTTTTAATGTGTATGATAAAAATGTTATTTTATCGATCACCATTCATTTGGCCCACGTTATGACATGGGGGTCTCGGTTTGATATGGAGTATGATATGAAAACTGTTGTTTAAAAATTTGAGTTACCACTGACACTGGTAATATGAATTCCTTTATATATTTGTTCCGACAGCTACTCCCATATTCGTCTGCAAGAGGTCTGTGCATATACGGTCCTGGTTGTACCCACGACACACCACAAGGTGTGATCGAAGTACACTGTTTAAAACTGACCTATGTACCATTGTATGAGACTGCACACACCATACGAGGTAGTCATTTCTTCAGAGCCGTTATTGTGCAAATACGTACGGTCCTGGTTGTAACCGTGGCACACCCACGGAGTTATCGAAGTAGACTGTTGACAACTGACCTACTTTACTGTTACATGACATTCATTCGGAGTAGTTCTTATAACGAAAGTAGCTAGTGCGCGTGTGCAGATAAGGCGAAGGTCGTTTAGTGTCTGCAGTAGACGCCTCCTGTTCAAACCCTCTTCTCTACTGTCATTTCTCGAAGGTAAGAAAGTGACTCAGTGTGTTAATAATGACATGTCGCCTTACCAGGATCACACGACGTTTGTAATGTAGCAGCTATACCGTTGGACAAGTGATTGTATAAATAGATGTGAATCTCGAGTTACATCCTGGTTCTTATCAACACCTGAATGATATAGGTCGCCCTGGACCCCGTCAAAGTTTGTTTGTCAATCGCAAGAAGCCTCTATATACAGAATATAAAATGAAGGTTATATTTTTCACAATGTAAACTGACGAGTGCTGTTCGAGTTTCCTGACTATTTTGTAAGACCCTGTGAATATACATGAAAACGAAAGTAGCCGCAATGTTCAGATTTTAACAAGTTGATCACCAACACACGCATGTAATTATAACTTACTGATATTTTGACATTTCATGCGTTTCACAGTTTAGGAAAGTTAAAACAGTAAAGCTTTTTCAAAAATTTTGCATTACTGCAGGAGCTGCCCACTAGGTTCCGCACTACACACTACTTCATTATATGATGTGATCGTGTACACAGCGTAGTGACCTACTTTTCTAGGGCATGGAGTATTTCTTTGGCGAAAGTGTCTACTGCACTTGTACATTCATGGACTACATCAAGGTGAGGTGAGGTGAAATGGGGTTTAACGTCGCGTCCAAGATTATTGCACTTATATAGTGACGTGCATGTACGTGTGTGTGTTTGTGTGGCTGCTTGTACTAGTCCGGACTGATGCCGATTAATAGTGCTAGCTCACTGAGATACCATGCCGCAGTTTAACATGAATACCCCACTCAGACACAGTATACTGACTCCGAGCCGACCAGTCCTTGTTTTAGCCCCTTAAAGCCGAGCTCCAGACAGGGTAACAACAAGTACCATGTTTTAACGTCTTTTGGTATGACGCGGCCGGGGATCGAATCCCGGACCTTCCGCTCTCCAGGCGGACGCTCTACCACTAGACAACGGAGGCGGTCATTGAACTACATCAAACGCATATATGTACGAGTGAGTGAGTTGGGTTTAATGGCGCATTGAACAGTATTCCAAGGCGTGTCTGCTCCCTGCATGATTCCCAGCAGGATTTAAACTTTGGTCACCCGTGGCTGTACGTTATATCAACCAATCTTAAAAAACCCAGCAACTACAAAAACGCACAAAATACAATTAAAGCTCCACATACAAGTCTATTTTATATACATTGATCCAGAACTCATGAAATCAGCTGCCGGAGTACAATACTTTCACACTGCGAGTTGTGTATTTGACGAGTAAAATCATGAATATCTTCTTGGTTCTTATGAACGCTTGGATATAACACTTCCAGTTTGTAACATGCCTGTGAAGGGATGATATTTCGATGTTAAGGCCTTGAAGCTGATCCATTGTTTCCCAAATATGCCTTTGCTCATGGAATGCTTAACATGTACAATACACACATATAACCACTGCCTCACGACACATCACAATAAAAGAAATTGATACCAGTTCATATATCATGTTCATTATCATTATGTCTTTTCCCAGACAAACATGTCGGATCTTGTGTCAGTGGCTGCGATCAAGGATCTTCTGACAGAGTGTCCAATTTGTACAGAACACTTTGATGAGTCAACACGAATTCCTCGTCGTATGCCATGTTGTGTACAGTCTATATGTCAGCCCTGTCTGGAAACCTACACTGGAGGTGCTGCAACCCTATCCTGCCCCATGTGTCGACACCGACATAATCTGCCTGGTGGGGTGAAATCTCTGCCCAAAGAGACTCTCATCCTGAAGACTCTGGACTACCTCAAGATCCAGAAAGGTCTCCATCTTCCATGTACAGATTGCCCTGACAAGGAAACAGCTGTAGCCCAGTGTGACAACTGTGGAACATTTTTATGTTCCCTTTGCTTAAGTGCTCATAAACGGAATACGGTATCAAAGGCCCACACTATAAATACCTTTGATGAAATGAAGGGCCGACCTGTGCAGAGTTTTCGTCGTCTACATCAGTGTAGTCAGCACCAACACCCTCTACAGTTCTACTGCTACACTTGTGACAATGTTGTCTGTGTGTCCTGCACTGTAGTGGATCACAAAGAAGGGAAGGGACACAACGTCGTGTCCGTGAATGAAGCACACCAAGGAAAGGCGAAGTCCACAAATGATGTTTTAGGAAAGTTAGAAGAGAAGACAAAGAGACTGAGCGAAACGGAGTCAGCCCTTCAAAAGAAGATAGAAAACATCAAATTGTCAATGAGGGTAGCAAGAGATGATATCAATAAAATCTTTGACAACCTGACCGATAGGCTGAATCAAAGAAGAACAATCCTTCTATCAGATGTTGATGGGAAATCTGCTGAGAATCTGAAGCTAACAGAGGAGGCCTTGGATTCGACAAGACAACTGCTGACTAAAGTGAAATCTTCATCCGAATACATGCGACAGATGCGCAGCAAAGCTGACAAGGTGGAAGATCTACAAGTAATGGGATCATCTGAGGCCTCTTTGAACTCCATGTTGAAGGAGTCACCACAGGAAACACCCTTTGACAGGACTGGAGTCAGCTTTGTTCAAGCAAACGTACAACATCTGCAGAACACTATCAATGTGGCAGGAATGGTTAGATCAGTTACGTTCTCCCCAACAGAGAGGCCGAATGGTATGCCAGATACAGAAGTATACAACGCCATCATACTGGAACCTGCAGAGTTCCCTACAGGTAGGTAGTAAACTATTACATATTGTTCATCTATTTATCATGTGTGCAGCTACCTCCTATGTATGGAATCCTAGAAGGGACATTGTCGCGTTGTCAGATTGTCACCGTTACAAAACAAGCCAAAAGTGTCAAAATTAACCAAAGCGGGACAATGCGATAATGCAAGAATGCAACAACAAGACATTTGGCTATTTGTCACATTGTCACATCATCGAATTGTTGCGCTTTGAACAATATTTCATATTTTACTAAAGGTCGACAATGCAACATTTTTCAATTTGAAAATATGTCACGTTGTCGCCCATCAAAACTGTGTGAAAAGGGCGTTAAAATGTGCGACAACACGACAATTCGACATATTGATTTTGTTGCATTGACGAGTTGACGCCCTGTTCAATTATTGGTGCACATGCGTTGTAAGTAAATTAATCTACGCATGCGTACACATGGTTATACCTCTTTTTAAACTCCAGTGGTCATTTGCTAGCTCCAATTGTTCCAAAACCAAAATAGCAAAGGCAATGTGAGTAGCTTTTCTTAAAGTTAAAACAACTCTTTTATCGTTGCTTCAGAAAGTAGGTCATATATCGTTATTGTCTGTGTCGTTTTTCATAAACCTTATGTGTCTTCACAGCAAGAAACATCGTTTCTATTTAATTTAAGTCTGATCTCCGACATCTTCTCAAATCGATGGCACTGTCGTTCGCGTCTCTTACAAATGTGAGTGAGTGGATGAGTATGGTTTTACGTCGCTTTTAGCAATATTCCAGCAATATCACGGCGGGGGACACCAGAAATGGGGTTCATACATGGTACCCATGCCAGGAATCGAACCCGGGTCTTCAGCGTGACGAACGAACGCTTCAACCTTGAGTCTACCCGACCGCCCCCTTACAAATGTAGAAGTACCCAAAAACGGAGATCGTGGAATTGAACCCCAGCACCATACACTCAGGGATTTCCTGACACACTGTGCAATAACTGTAATTTAGTTCAAAGCGGCGTTACACCACTGGTCACGTTAGTCACGGGGAGTCCTTGATGAGTGACTGTGTTTGGCTGCTTGGCTCCTTAGAGTTTCTAGGTCTTCGGTCCTGCCCCACACTGACGCACATGCAACACATGTGGTGCCTCTTTGGGCAAGTGACTTTGAATGAATGAATGACTTTACGATGAATTCATTGTGTACGGTGACGTCTCCTAGGCGTGCCAGAACCTTATGAGCATGGGTTCGAATTCCCAGTTCTTTCTGATTTAGTGTCTGTCATGACAAAACTGAAATACTGTTCAGAGCGGCGTTAAACAATACTGCCTCACGAATTTCACAAGAAAGTTTAAGCAATGTCAATGATTTTTTATATCCTAAAATTTTTAATATTGCCACTATTTCCCCAGTTGTCTTAGATGCATGACCGTGCCCTGTTGGGATCTTCAGATCCCTCGAACCTTGGTTCTTACATTCACTCTTTTATGTTCGTTATTTTTTCAGCTTCATAATACTTATGGCATGGCATTTCTTCTCACATTATTAACTTGTCGTCATTATATTTGATAACTGGTCATCATGTAACGTGTGTGAAATATCTTGACAGTGTAAATTGTAAGTTATTATTTTTGATTGACTATGCACGTATATTGATCAACGTGATCATGATCATGACGACGAGTGTCCTGAGCAAAGCCAGCTACAGTTTGTCCAGGGCACTGATTGTGCTCCCTTTCTTGATGATCTGTTTCTTTATGCGCTTTCTACTCTGGGTGATAAAATAAAGACAAGTGAATTTGGCCAAGATGTTTTAGTTAAGCATCAGGGATATCGATGATCTGATATCATTCAATTGGGGGGCACGGGTGGCCCAGTCGTCTAAGGCGCCGCGATTCGCTGTGCAGAGTTGCGTCCCTTCGGCACGCCAGAAACCTATAATTGTAGGTTCGAATCCCGGTTCGCCCCGATTATGTTTCTAGCTTTGTCAGCACCATACCCGTGCTCGTAAGACCTGCATCATTCTGGCTTTCCTCCCATATTAAGCTGACACGCCATGATATATACCTGGAATACGGTTAAAAGCGGCGTAAAACCCAACTCACTCACTCACTCACTCATCCAATAGTATAGTATAGTATTCCAGCAGCTACATTTCATCAGTTTTATTTTACAGTGGAGCATGTTCTTTCTCCGGAGATTTCTAAGAGCGTCAAACGAGACTTGCTCAAAAGTTGTGATCTGTTTCTGATGTTTCTGATGTTTCTGAAAGCTGTTACATAATATTCCATATCCAAAACTATCTTAACGTGTGAATAATACCTTAATTTACAAGACTCATCAGTTTTCATCTGGATACTATTTTTTACATTCCCACAAACGCTGCCTAAACAATATTATGCTCGTGCAAACGTAACTAAATCTATTAATGTCAAGTAAATGTTTACCATGAGTTATGAATTATGAATTCTACCACATTCATACAGCTCCTTCATTGTGAAAAACATTGTCGGGGATATCTGTCATCATTCATTCTAATTGGTTAACACCAGCATTTAACACTCTTCATATGATAATCCACGTGCAAACCATATCTGTGTCTCTTTAAATATGTCATTCAGACAATTTTGATGCGCCAGGTATATTTTTACCAACTCCTGAAACAAATTTTACAAAAACTAGGATGAAATGTATCGACAGTTTGACCAGCTTTGCAACCGCAAATCTCCACACCACGAAGAAGAATGGGCTTTATTTTTCATATCACATAATTTACATAAAATGTTCAACTAAACTTTTTTTATTGTAAGCAAAGCCTTATTGGGGTTTAATCTTGAGGGTATCAATGCATTCAGTCCAAGACAATCTAGTTGAAAACAGAACTACAGTAAGCACTATAATAATACGCATATCATTCAAAAACTATCGTTCATCATCCCTTAAAGTGCCACCTTTTCAGAGCACCAAACCTTCGGTTTTGGACAAAGTCCCCACGTTTTATAAGAAAATAGATAAAATATCAATTTTGCTTTGCAGACCTATTACGGTGTCATCGAATATACACGAATCATCTGCATATAGTAAAAGTAATCGGTCAATTAATTCCTCTCCAACAAAAATTCCTTTTTCTGTCATAGATGGTAATTCAAGGTTAAAAATCGTGAACAGTCGAAAGGGACCCAACACTCAGCTTGTCAAACGCTGGTCAAAGATTCGAAATAATCTGAAAAAGAGGTTTTTTGATGTCCTGACAGCACACTGGATCTTTCAAAACTATCAATCAACGACCGTTGATTCCATTTTCAGTACCAAATACCACATGAGCTTCCTTTTGATCAAATCGAACACTTTTCGGAAATCAACAAACAATAAAATCTACCTCGACGTTTAGAGAGAAACATTTGTGCTAAACACTGTAAATATATTGTCAATCTGCTTCGAAATCCGGCCGGAGCTTCAGGAATTGTGTTATAAATTTCCGCAAAGGTCTTGAGTCATTCAATTAGTACTGTTGTTATCAATTTTCCAAATGCATCCACCTTCTCAACTTTCCAAATACACACACCAGCGTTATCCCTCTATAATTATTGACATGATTAATATTATCTTTCTCGTGCAGAGGAAGTAATATACCCTTTGCCCACTCGTAAGGGAATACACCGTTGTGCATAATCATATCAAAAAGTATATTTAAGTATGATATGATGGAAGTGCTGCAACATTTCACAATTTCAGGAAAATTCCATCCAGTCTTGCCGATTTACCAAATTTCAAGTTATGTATTACTGGTAATACTTCTTCTTCAGTAACATCAGCATTCAGGAGATTATTCATACCATCATCACTTCAGTAATTGCACTCTTTAATAGAATGGCTGGTGATAAAATCTTGTGCCGCATGTAGATTGTCCCCCTTCCACATGTATATCCCTTAAATTAAACTGATGTTGGAAATATTCTGTCTATTGCACATTGCTAATACCTTGGCTGCCTGTCACAGAAGGTGAAGAAATAATATTGTTGACACGTCTCCAAAAGGATATTTCATTCCTGCTTTTATTGACCAAGTCATCTATACAATCTTCCTCATGCTCAAATCGCTTGTCTCTTCTGTGATATCATCCACTGTCACTTTAGGCAAAGCGAAATTACTGTGGGTTCAGAAATCTAAATATCGGATATTTAGTTGAAGAATTGAATTTCAAAAATAGCACATTAGTGATCACGGGAATCTGTTTTTCACCGAAACATCAACGTTAATTCTGAAACGTCGCCGAGGAATCTGGACTCGTTTAGAATCGTTTGGAAAAATACCCAAACACGAACGCCGAAGTGCACTTTCCGCCATATTGGATACTGTTGACAAAAATCACGTTTCACGTATGCGGGTTATGAAACGCCTATTAGATCACGTACATTTCAAACTCAGCTGCGATACATGCATCCCTGAATTCCTCCTACATTGTAGAATCAAGCGACAAATGTTCTCTGTCACCAATACAAATATTGAAGATGACATCAAGCGAAATGAATTAGGTGTGGAAACGAACACTGTGCTCGGAAAACTTTAATTGTTGAAATGTAAACAAAGCAAAATTCAGATTTTACACTCTCCCGTTTTGAGAGATCAATTCGTTTCCTGTGTGACGCCATGACTGACGCAAAGTTGCGCACAACGACGACGGTAGTGATCTGCATTTCTGACAAATTCTCTTGGTTACATTGTAAAACATAAAAACAAATAATAGTACGTAGATAGTCTGATTGTTTCCTATTACTGACATGACACATTAATGTATATACCATCCTACAATCAACGAAAACCCCGTTTGGAAATCCCGCGAAATCACGCCATTTTGTCGACATTGGTCACCGGCAGTGATGTCATACGATATATAAACATTGTTGTACATACGAAAATTTGGTAAATTCTTTGAGGTGATTTTGTTTTACTCAGCATCATGCGGGTTCTTTGATCTTATCCAGTTTGCACTATCATCATGGCCTTGTAATCCTCA